GGTTGCTACTCACAAACACTGAGCCGGACATCAACACACTCAAAATATCCCATCAGGATCATCCAAGTTCAAGAATAAATATTTCTTCAATAAAATGCTTCATGCATTGAAGTTTTGAATTTTTCTATTGTGTATTTATGTAGTTTTTTACAAAGTTCAAAAGAAAGTTTTGACTATAAAGGGGGGGTCCGTGGGCCAAATGACTTTGGAAACCCTGGTCTAACTGAACATATTCCAAAGCAGAGCGGAGAAAATCGGTTTGTTTCCATTTTGCAGCTTGCAAAACATTTTGATTTTTTATGAAACTGTTAATCCCTTGAGCCCTGAAATTATTGTTCCGTATTGTTAAATTTTGAAGCGAAATCACCGTTCTGCTCGTACCTTAAATCGTGTTTTCTTCGCTGCTTCGCTGTTTTTTAACAAATTATCCTGCCCCTTGTCACGTTAAGGAAGTTCCCAATTTTTGCTTCCTATATAAAAGCTGCTGAATATTTTAAAAGAACCGCTGGTCCAATAATTAGCACGTTGTTTTCAGGAAAAAATCGAGTACATCTTTTTAGTTATTTTTACGGCTGAATGCATTATGAAAATAATCGCTTATGGGTTTTTGATGCATCCGGGAGCGTATTTGAGGAATGGCTGGAATTTACTAGATTTTACAATTGTAGTTATAGGGTAAGTTCATGCAAGGAGCCTGCTCTTTCATTTCCTCGATAACTTGTAAAGTTCTGCACAAATTAACCAAACTCTTAATAAGACAAGTCCAAATCGGAATAGACGGATATCTTTCATATTTCATGGCATCCCCGCTAAATCAGTTTCTAATTGCAACCTCAGTTGTAAACTCTCATAATTAGCAGTGAATTTATCAGAATTAGTTTGCTAAAACTAATGGGAAATTCATCTCAACCACTTAAAACTAAATTTAAGACCAAAGTTTGGACACGTTTCCTTTGAAAGTTTGCGACAATTTGCATATGACGGGGTAGTCCCTTGATACGTGTCCCTTTCAATATCTCAATTATTTACTAACTTTTTACCTTCTGGTACAAGGACGCGATCAACATCGTGACTACATTTTATTTCAGTAATAAATGTATGTCTGTAGGTTTTCAATATAGGAACAACTGTTTATTAGCTACTCTGGCCTGGTTTATTTCATCAAGAACATTTGTTTTTCGTTTTTATATTTACATTTAAGCTTTGGGCACAGCCAAAGCAAAACACATTGCATTCTTAAGCTAAAATTCCAAGGCGAGCTTTTGAAATAAGAAGACAAAGGTAAAGCTTTAGCCGCTAGACGAGTATTGGGAAAAACAACGAAAACAACAAAAATTTAATATAAAGTTAGGTGTAGGTTGTGAAGCTTCTCGTTTTCGCTTAAACTCATACACGTTTTGTTTGTTATTGAGGGAATGAAGAAGTTTAAATAATTTAGTTACAGTAATTATATGGCTCCTTTTTCAGTATGATAAGTACAGCTCTCTCGTTTTTAACAAGAGATAGCTTTGACGTGAAAGCTCTACGAGCCTTTAGAGTATTACGTCCTTTGAGGCTTGTTTCTGGAGTACCCAGTAAGTAACATGATCTTGTTATTAGTTGTCTACCGTTGCAAACTTCTCACTTCAATGTTAAACCTTAACTATGTTTATATCCTTTTCCGGAAAAAATAGGTCAAAGTCAAAAAAAAAAAGTCGTGCTGGCAAGGACTGAATTTAGTTTGTTTTTGATACATACTTGACGATTTTGAAATTTCAGGACTTTCCAGCTGATTTTTAAATTGATGTAAAAAAATGGCATGAATTTGACTTTGCGGGTTGAATTGAAGATGTAGATGGTCGTTAATCGTGTGGTGTTGTTACGTTTTAGGTTTACAAGTTGTATTAAATTCAATTCTTCGTGCCATGGTGCCTTTATTACATATTGCTCTTTTGGTATTATTTGTAATAATAATTTACGCCATTATTGGACTCGAATTGTTCTCGGGACAAATGCATAAAACTTGCTTTAATGACGATACAGGTAACTTACTATGCTACACATGTTCAAAATAGCTACACAATTGTATTTAGGGGAACTAATGGAGGAAGCTCACCCTTGCGGTGATGGATTTAATTGCAGTGCAGATTACACATGTAGGCCTGACTGGGAAGGGCCAAATTCGGGCATAACAAATTTTGATAATTTTGGATTAGCCATGTTAACCGTCTTTCAATGTATTACTCTAGAAGGCTGGACCGATGTACTTTATAACGTAAATATTTGAGACAATCAACGTTCTCCATCAGATCAATGATGAAATGTTACAGATTCAAGACGCATTGGGCCGTGAATGGCAGTGGTCATATTTCGTGTCGATGGTGATATTAGGAGCTTTTTTTGTTATGAATTTGATTCTTGGTGTGCTCAGCGGAGAGTTTTCTAAAGAAAGAGAAAAAGCTAAAGCAAGAGGAGACTTTCATAAACTCAGAGAAAAACAACAACTCGAAGAGGATCTTCGAGGATATTTAGACTGGATAACTCAAGCTGAGGACATCGAGCCAGAAGGCGAGGATCAGCAAAACCAAGACCAAAGAAACAATACGGCCAATGAAATGGCGTCTACCGATCAATTAGGAGAAGAGGAAATCCAGCAGGAGTCTTGGTTCAGCAAGAAGAAAAAGGGTTTCGACAGGGTTAATAGGCGAATGCGTCGATCTTGCCGAAAAGCAGTTAAATCGCAAATATTTTATTGGCTCATTATTGTTTTGGTTTTTCTGAACACCGGAGTTCTGGCTACGGAACATTATGAACAACCTCCATGGTTAGATGATTTTCAAGGTAGGTGTTCTAGCAATTAAGACCACCTGCCCTGATTGATCCACGTGTATTTTTTTCAGAATATACTAATATGTTTTTCATAGCCTTGTTTACGTTAGAAATGTTGTTGAAAATGTACAGCTTAGGTTTCCAAGTAAGTCCTAGTAACCAAAGTATTAAAAAGCATAATTTTCATACGGCTGATATTATTTTAGGGCTATTTCGTGTCCTTGTTTAATCGTTTCGATTGTTTCGTTGTCATTGGTAGTATTACAGAAATGGTTTTAACCCACTCGCATGTTATGCCTCCCTTGGGAATATCTGTATTACGTTGTGTTAGATTGTTGAGGGTTTTCAAAGTTACAAAGTAAGTAAATAGAATCGGTTCCAATCAATAAGTCCTCGCTAATCCACTTTTTAGATATTGGCGGTCACTTTCAAATTTGGTGGCCTCGTTGTTGAATTCAATACAATCAATTGCATCATTGTTGCTTCTTCTGTTTTTGTTTATTGTTATATTTGCTCTATTGGGGATGCAAGTTTTCGGTGGGCGGTTCAACAGGAAAACAGAGGAGAAACCGAGATATAATTTTGATAGCTTTTGGCAAAGCTTATTAACGGTGTTTCAGGTAAAACCAACCTTTTAAAAGCCAGCAGAATCCTGCATGTAATTCTTTCAGATTTTAACGGGTGAGGATTGGAACGTTGTTATGTATGACGGAATTGAGGCTTATGGAGGAGTTAAGGGTTTTGGTGCTTTAGCTTGTATTTATTATATCATTCTCTTTATCTGCGGCAACTGTATCCTTTTTATTGATTGCTTTTTTGAAATGTTTTGCCTTTATCGGCATTGATGGGCATATTTTCTTAATACCGACATCAGATATTCTACTAAACGTGTTTTTGGCCATTGCCGTCGATAATCTAGCCGATGCTGAATCGCTAACTGCAATTGAAAAGGAAGAGGAGGAAAAAGAGCAAGAGGGTAAAAGATCGAAAAGTCCAACCCCCAACCAGGATGAGGAGGTCGAAGAAGAGGAAGAGGATGAAGATCGTAGCTTGGAGGATGAAATGGAAGACGGCCAGTACTCAGAGAGGTGGATTATGGTACAAACTTTCCAGCAGGAATTCGGAATTTTTTCCTTTCAATTTTAGGTCAGGTCATGATGAGGAGGAAACCGAATCTCAAACAAAAATTGCTATAGAAGAAGGAGAAGAAGGCGAACAAAACGAAGGTGAGATTTTGTGTTAAGTAGATTTAATATTGTTTTTTTTAAGCTTAGAGACTATAGCTGATATAGACAGGGATATGAAACAAAAAGATAATTTTCAGACGAAGACGGCGAACATAATGGCTTGGAAGAGCCGAAAGACTCAGCAAGACCTCGCCGTTTATCAGAGGTCGCTATTGTTAAGAAAGTCAAGCCAATTCCAAAAGGCAATGCATTTTTTATATTCTCTTATAAGAACAGGTACGCCTCACTGAACGGAACATAGCTGCAGAATTTTTTTTAATGGCACTAACTCTCATTCTACTGAATTAACAGTGTGAACATTTGTCAACTTCCTTCTTTAGCATTTGAAATTTGCTTTTGCATTGTGAATAGCGCTTAGATTAGTGTATTTTACACGTAGAACGGAGCAGGAATCGGCTGAGCGGTGTGATGACCTGGAAACGACGATTTATATAAGTCGCTATGAAACAAGGGCAAGTCAATAAATATCCTGCAGCTATGTTATGTAAAGACTTTTAGTAATAAGTGTGGTTGTGTGACGTTACAGATAATGGAGATGAAGAGGGTAGCAAAGTTGGGGCACGCCCACGTCGCATATCCGAAATAAAACAAAACTCACAGAAAGTGCCAATACCACCGGCTTCGTCTTTCTTCGTCTTTTCTCCCACGAACAGGTGAAATAATGAGAGTAGCGATGGTGCCCCCTTAGGTCTCAGTGTGTTGCTTGGCCCCTTGTTCCGGCACTGTAGTGTGTTTCGCACTGATCTGATTAGCGCCCGTCCGAGTAGATTTCTGATCCCCTATCAATGAAGTAGAGAATCAGCGCAACCAACCAAATTTGCCAGATTATTTTGCTATTTCATTTTGAGACGCTGATAAACTTTTCTACTTTATTGACTCCCATAGAAAAATCTTGTCAGCTAATACACAACATGATTGTTTGTTGTAACAAGTTCCACTGTTGCTGAAGTTTATTCATTTTGGTTTTTGTGTCGCTACTTTCGTGTCGTAGATTAGGATCGAATTTTGAGTGAAAGTGTCTTAAGTAATTGACTAATGCCATGAAACTCTTAAGCATTTATCACTATGTCAACGTAATATCATACAATGCTTGTTCCTCGTGTTGCTGAACGAATCGTCCCATGTGCGGCTCAGTTCAGTAAACACTTTGTATATTGTGCATCTATAATACGCTGCCAATAGTGGACAAAATTTAGCAATGAGTTATGGATATATGAAGGCTTTCACGGCCGGTCAGATTGTATTTAGGAATGTTTTCCGGGCTTTGAAGC